GAATTTCTCTGGAGCTTGTCAATACCAAAACGTTTGATAAGGAATGAATTGTAACGTTTTTTTTTGTTTTTTTTTAATTAAAGTTTAAAAGGGATAGAAAGAAAGATAAAAAAATCAGCAAATAAGGGAAAAGACATTTAAAAGGGGGATATAGAGAAAAAAGGGGGAAGATAGATAGATAGATAGATAGATAGATAGATAGATGAACAGACTGAGATAGATAGATAGATAGATAGATAGATAGATATGAACAGACATAGATAGATAGATAGATAGATAGATAGATAGATAGATAGATAGATATGACTGTTGCATTAAAAGGGATGTCGTTAGCCTACAATGTCAGTGTCAGTGGCGGATGCTAGCTGAATATCAATAACCTATAATTTTTGTTGCTTAATTACAAAGAGCGGCCTAGCAAAATAGTCTCTGACATGAAACTGGATACGAACCAAAGGTGTATCATTGCAAATCCTACATACACATCATCCCCCATTGACATTCATCGACACTTTTCAAACTTTTACGGAAACTAATCAAGAGTTTTGAGCTCAGTCAGGAGGCGAGTAATGCGTTTCTAAAATGGAGACAACGATGAGTGACAGGTACGATTCTGAACAAACCTGCACAACCACTCGTAAATGCAATGATGTAATAATTGGGGGACGCACTCGAGGTAGAGGGTTACCTTTGGAAGTTATTTGTGTGTATAGGAGTGGAGGATAACGGTTAACCCTAACCTTGAACAGGTTAAGATTCGGGGAAACATTCTGTTGAGTGTCGGTTCCATAGGGTCGTCGTTCGCAGGAAGAAGCTGCTCGAGTGGAAATTACTTCTCACCGATGGAATACGGGGAGAATGTGGGTGTTTTGTTACTATGTAAGTGGCATAGAGTTTTCTTGCCGTAAACGTTTAACTTAGTGGACTAGTGGATGTCTTTTTCGACTCATGACTGGCTTTTTTTTACATTTTCTTTTTTAGAGTAAGGTTCACCCTTTACAAGGCCTGAGGGCCACTCGAGGTAGAGGGTTATGTTTGGAGGTCCATTTGTGTGTATAGGAGTAGAAGATAACGGTTAACCCTAGCCTTGAACAGATTGTAGCGATCGGAGAAACATCCTGTTGAGAGTTGGTTCCACAGGGCAGTGGTTTGCAGGAAGAAGCTGCTCGAGTGGATCTTACTTCTCACCAGTAGAATACGGAGGGAATGTGGGTGATTTGCTACTCTGTAAGTGGCATGACATGTTCTTGCCGAGAAAGCTTGCCTTTGCGGTACCACGAATTGGAGTTCGTCCGAGCACCTTCCGTGGAAGTAGCAGTAAAGCAGAGACAGGCTTGCTACATCCCGCCTACGGGGGAGGGGCTGAGGGGTGGAGAATAATTTGTCACCCACAAGAGGCTTTTGAACTCTATCAAGGCTAGAGAGTGAGATCTGGGCAGCTCCCAACGAAATATGACTACAGTACACTATTTTTGGCCTGATTCGGCTCTTGTAAAGGTAGAAGATAGCTAGGGGAGTCAGTTACTTACTGGAGCGGTATAGAATGCCGACCATATTACCTGCATCCTTACCAATGTATCGTGTCTATGAATTCCCCTTGAGACCGGGTGTGAGTCTTTCAAGACACGGTGCTTCCCCGATAGGAACTCCGTTAATCTTGATTGGTGGTAGTTCGGGGTCATATCGGCGATGATTGAATGAAACTAGCTTGATCTTCGAGGCATTGAATGTAACCAGCCAATTTTTACCCCATTGTGTAGTTTGTACAAGATCGGAAGAGAGGTCGTATTTAATTATGCAGATTTAAAATTTTAAATCTGCATATTTAACATCATTTTTGTTTTTTAAGCCTGGTTAAATTTTAACCATTTATATTTACGTGTAAGGAGTCGGTCTGATGAGTTGAGATCGAACTCTTGATCTTAACGAAATAAATATTACCATAGTCTTTTAAGAGTTCGTTTTCTTTATAATAATAATTGTTATTGCTCTGTTTTTGACATTAAGCTCTCCTTGGATCTATATCCTTTTAGAATTTTCCTACGAATTACCAAATATTATTGCGTCCTGGATATGACGATAAACTATATCCACGTCCTGGGTAAGACGATAAACTACATCCGCGTCCTGGGTAAGACGATAAACTGCATCCGCGTTGTGGATAAGACGATAAACTGCATCCGCGTCCTGGGTAAGACGATAAACTGCATCCGCGACCTGGGTAAGACGATAAACTATATCCGCGTCCTGGGTAAGATGATAAAACTGCAAGGCTCCTGATCAGAAGGTTTTGAGGATCGTCGAACCACCTCTTAATTGTTGGTGTTTCCAGGTTCATCCTGACCCTCGGTAGTAGCACCTATTAGGGTCCCAGCTATGGGTAAATATTTAACCCCCAAATTGGGGTCAAAACACTATGAAAATGTAAAAATAGGTTTTAATACCAGGATACTTTGTAAAAAAAATTATCACCAGCAATAAAATTTTTGAAAAAATATTACCACAAATACTTTTTTTTACTATCAATAAAACTTTTGTCGGCATTAAATAACCCAAACCAAATATTATCATATATATATATATATATATATATATATATATATATATAGAGAGAGAGAGAGAGAGAGAGAGAGAGAGATGTGAATTTGAGGCCAAAAAGCTTTTCCAAGCAGTGTGCTTCCTCGAGAGGACCTCCGTTAATCTTGATTGGTGGTAGTTTGGGGTCGTATCCGCGATGATTGATTGTAACTAGCTTGATCTTCTAGGCAGTGAATGTAACCGGCCAGTTCTTACCCCGCTGGGTAGTTTGCGCAAGATCTGTAGAGAGGTCAGTCGCCAATCTCAGACCATC